GGTTGCCTAGGGAGATTCTGAGACCTGTCCTGTCTTTGGAGGGTTTTGAGAACAGATTAGAAAGATACATATTGGTGAGAGAAGAGTTTATGTGAAATTGAACTTTGAACTGATCTTGCCTTGCAGCTGACTAAATGACATCTTGAGATCTCTCCCAGCCTTACTCTCTATCATCCTATAAAATAAGACAAAAATGAGGTGAGGAGAGCCAGTGGAAGGGAAAAAAAACTAGCAAAGGGAAAAAGATTCTGGGAGGAACAGCTGTTGTTATGTGAAGATGGGGGTTAGGTGGGATGCAGAGAATTGGAGTAACATGCTGTGCAAAAGGGAGGGAAGCTCCTTCACTGCTCAGGGGCTCTGCTTTATCTGTGCTGCGTTTGCACAGCTGGAATTTCTGGCTTGTTTCTTCCAGAGGTTTTCCTTCAAGATTGCATGAGGGGAACATGAAGGGAAATGCAGTCATCAGCTGGCAAAACATCTTGCTCTGGCATTAAAGAAAAACATATTTCTTTTCTCTTTTTGTGGTTTTTAGCTGACACAGGCTTTACAAGGTTTGCAGGTTCAAATAACTAGTCTGTCTCTGGTGAGGTATAACAATGACTTGAGAAAATCCATGAGCAAAGTAAGTTTGTGGGCTTCCATGATATGCCTGAGTTTGCAGACTCCAGCTCTTGGGAGAGCATCATCCCTTTCATCGGCCATGCCTTCATAAGGCATCTCAAATGTGCCTTCAGAGACATTTGCCTGCTTTCCTGATCAGGGCCACACTCATCTGAACAAGACCATAGCCCTCCAGAAATGTGCCTGACAGCTCTGCAAGGTCCTGTGGCTGGGAGACCTGGCTCTGCACCAGCAGAGCACCTGAGCCCCAAGGGACTCCAGGGCAGAAATCCTTTCTGGCTAGCTCTGCCCCCTCCCAGGTCCCTGATCAGGATGCTGTAAGGAGGTAACAAACATTTCCTAGGCATAGGACCACATGTGATTTGAGGATGAGAAGCTTAACTTCTGCTCTGAAATAGCTTTCTATAAATGTTGGTACATCAGTGGCCAGAAATGGCTGAGAAACATTAAATCATTTTTCCTGACTCTAAGAGTGTTAGTACTGTTCTGGGTTCTCTTTCAAACTATGCAGAAGTTCCACATTAGTTGGAAAACTCAATTTTGAGTGCAGTATAAGCCAATTAACAAAGTGGAGAACTTGGGGGACGGAGCCAACAAAGCTGCTGAGCCTCTTCTCTTGATCCAGTTCTGTTCAGTGAACAGACAGGATTTCCCTTCACAGAATATTTGAATAGAGCATATTTCACTTCCCCATACCCCTGGACACTGCACATCTCTGGGTAGCAGCTCTGAGGACAGCAGGGCCCTCTTTGGACCCTCTACTCTAGAAAGTGTCACTGTTTCTTATCTGACTGAAGTCTCAGTTCTGGCAGAGCATGATGAAAGTGACTGGTCCCAGTGCAGAGCACAGTCAGCATCAGCAGGGAGAAGAGCACTGGAGCATCTCCCCTATGAGGACAGGCTGAGGAAGTTGGGGCTGTTCAGTCTGGAGAAGAGAAGGTTGTGTGGAGACCTCAGAGCAACTTTTCAGTATCTGAAGGGTCTCCAGAGAAGTCAGAGAGTGACTCTTTGCTAGGAGCTGCAGTGACAGGACAAGGGGCAATGGGTTCAAATTGAAGGAGGGGAAATTTAGAGCAGATATTTAGAAAGTTTTTCCCTGTTCTGGTGGTGAGACACTGTCCCAGGGTGCCCAGGGAGGCTGTGGCTGCCCCAACCCTGGCAGTGTTCACAGCCAGGTTGGATGAGCCTTGAGCAACCTGCTCTGGTGGGAAGTGTCCCTGCCCAGGGCAGGGGTTGGGACTAGGTGATCTCTAAGGTCCATTCCAACACCTAAAATTCTGTGATTCCATGATAAGCCAAAGTAAACCTCATGCCTGAAGACCAGGAAGTCACTATATGGTTTTAGCTTCAACAGACTGTTTTGCACAGTCACCCACAGCTCTTGCAGGCACCAAGGGGCTGTGTGGGGGAAGCTGCTCCTAAAGGGCTGCAAAGAAGGCAGGAATCAGACCAAGGCATCAGCTGCTGCTGCATGGGCAGTGGAACAGCTGGAGCCGAGGGCAGAGGCAGTGGGGAGGAGGTTATCTTTGCAACACTATGGTTTAGCTGTGTCCACCTCTGAATCAGCTGCTGTTTGTCTCTAAGAGGTTGTGGAAGAGGGAGCAGGAGGGGAGACCTTGGGAAGTGGGATGATTAGTGAAGCTTGATTCATGTTTCTGCATCTCCCTCATATGAGGGCAGTTACACTGTGACTCCAGCTGAACAAAGATGCAAAATGCTTTTCACCAGTAGAATGATAACTTAAACCAGTGAGCACAGGAAAATTGCTCTCTGGAGACCAAACTAAGCAGAATTCCTATTTACCCAGGCTGCTTTCATGTCCTGGGACCAATCAGCGTATTTAGCAAGTGCGAGCGGAAGCTAATTGCAACTCTTTTTTCCTCTAACTATGTGCATAAATAATCTGTCAACAGAGAAAAGTGTGCCTTCCCCCGTGGCTGTTGGAGACTATGGAAGAGATCCTGACACTCCTGCAGAACCAGCCTGGATTTCCATAGCAAGGCAAAAGCAGTGGGGCATGCAGCAGGAGAAGGAACTCAACAGAGAAAACCTGGTGGCTCCAGATGCTAAGGCAGATGTAGAGAAACAGAATAAAGAAAAGGAACAAACAGAGGTACTTAGAGTGCAGATTTGTGATACTTTCACATCACCTTCCTGTAGTATTCTTTGGATCTCCTGCTATATTACCAGTCATGCCATAATGATTGCAGATGCTTATGGAGTATAACCATAAGTAACCAAGGCATTGCTCTTGGAAATTGTTCCAGATTCAGAGCTCTCTGATCATCCAGATATGTAATTTTGTATTTCCAAGAAATCCTGGAACTATGTGAGGTGTGTAAAATTTCTTGGCATACCGGATCTAACATGTGTATTGCATGCTAAAATACCCAAAATGAAATGCTAAATTGTACAGTCTCTGATCTTTCTGAATATAGAGGGAATATGTTCTCTTCAACTACCCTTCTAAGCACAGCATTTCATTGAACCTCCTCTACCTCCTGACTGATTTAACACTGAATGAACAGCTTGGTCCCAGAAGCTCCTAGGTAACAATTTTTAGAGACTTGAGAAGTGAAATAGGATAAAAATAACTTTTGCACTTGCGGAGAGTGCCAAGATACAAATCCTGGTTCCCTGTATATGGATAATTCAGAAGCCTATGTGGTGCCTTGGAATATGGGCTGAGATTGCCTCTTCACAGAGCCCATGCAGAAGAGGCTGATACTGGTAGGGAGTGATCTTCCCAGATGACAAAGCTGTGCCAGCAGAGGTGCTTGGCACGAATCCACAACATATCAAGGCTTTCCTGGTCCTGGACTGGTTCACAGGGCAGCAGTGTGTGAGTGCTGCCTGCTCTGTGTCCTGCACAGCAAGAACCCTGCACTGATGCAGGAGCATGTGTGTCCCACACCAATAGAGCATCCCAGTGCAAATGGCCTACTTTCCTGTTTCAGATGGTGCTGTTACCAATCCAGACAGCTGCATTATATCCCAGAATAAGAGAAGATTTCCAGATGATGAAAAATAGCAGTGATTAGATTAACAAGAAATAATACCTAATAAGATGTCTAGACAAGCTTATGAGCTGCAATAATGCCCAACATTGTCGTAGTACTTAAATACCAAGGGTTTAAATGATCCCAAAATACATTTTCTATGTCGGAATAGGAAACTCCAGATTTTAGCTGGCAATGATCCCTTAAATTCATGCCATGCATTTTATTTCCCTGTATCAGCTAACACAGAAACACACCAAGATGCTCCTGACTGCAGCATGTGAGCCTTGGTGCCACTGTACTACTCCCACCTTCTCCTTCTCCCACATGGCACCAGGCACTGTCACTTCAGGGTAGTTTTTGATACTGGCAATAAAATCTGTGGGAAGATGTGTTTGATTTCTTTCTTATGAAAAACCCATTTGCCATCAACTGTCCAAAAACACAGTGTCCTAACCCACAAAATTTGGGAAGTGGAAGGGAAGCATGAGAGAACAAGACTGTTTCCAAATCCTATATATGCTAGTAGAGATGTGCAAAGGACTTGGAATACATTTTGCCTTGAAGACTATAATTATCTACTCACAGATACCATTTTGAATAAGAGATAGAGAGGAACAGTTTGAATTTGTAAAGTTGAGTATCATGGATGTTAATGGGAAACCAGTGGAACTTTCTGGCCAGGACAGTTTGAATTTATAAAGTTGAGTATCATGGATGTTAGTGGGAAACCAGTGGAACTTTCTGGCCAGGTATCAGCTCAAGGGAGAGGACTGGGTGTGATGTGTGTTGGCCTGTGGCAGGCACCACATCCACTCCCTTTCCTCCTGTTCTTCCAAGCTTCATCCTCCCTGCATTGCTTGGATTTTATCCCTCTCTGTCCTCAGGGGTCAGTGAAGCAACAATGGAGCAAACCTTCACACTTGGCACCTAAAGCTGCTTCTGAGGAGCAGAGGAAAGAGACAAAGTCTGAAGTGAAGGAGTCCCTGCTGAGAACCAATTCACTGTCACATTTTCCTGGTAAGGCTGTTATCTCATAACCTTGTCAGAAGAAATCCTGCTTGTGTGGGCTGCAAAAAGAGTAGGGGCTACATCCTAATCTCCTCCTCAGCCCCACATCAGCCAGGGCAAAGAATTTTCTCTGCACTCACATCTGGGGTTTCATTTGGTGGCATATTCTTTTGATCAGTTTGATTATGAGCAAAAGAGTAATGAGAAGTAGTCAAAACTCATGTTGAAAGAAACGTGAAACAATTGTGCTAGTCCATTTCACAGGACAGGGGCCCAAATGCACTATCCTAGTGTAAAATGGATGATCAGTTTTCATGGGGTGTCCTAAGCGAGCTGGAATGATGTGATCAGAAACTGTCTGACCATCAGTCCTCCCACAATAACTTTGTTCTAAATCACTTTGGTAAATTAAAATTTGAAAGAAGGGCAGAAGTTCTGAAGGTAATAAAATTCCTATAAGTTGGGGGCTGGTTAAAGGAGGAATTTGCAAGTGAATGCTTTTGCTAATGAGATGACTCTTCTTTGGCCTGGGTGTTTACCCAGGGCACAGCAAAGAATCCAGGTCATCATGTTGGGTTTTGGTAGATTTAGGGACCAAAAGATATTAGTGATGAGAAAAGCACTGTCTTATCTAGAGCACAGAATGGTAATTTCCTCAATGACACACTGCAGAAGAAGCTTCCATGTGAAATGCCAAGATTTTCTACCACAGGGCAAGGCATGGGAAGATTTTAATGAAAGAGATGAGTGCTGAGCTACACAGCAAGCAAGTGTAAAATATCCCTGTGTTTTATTCACAGTAGCTCCAGCACCTGCACTGGTGGATAAGGAGGAAATAAGCCACTTGAAGAAAAGCAGTAACGTTGCTCCGGATCAGCCATCGTGGATGGAACTGGCCAAAAAGAAATCTCAAGCTTGGAGTGATATGCCACAGATTATAAAATAGAAAAGTGCAAACAAACAGCATCTTTCATAATTAAGTCAACTACTTAACTGAACTTCTACAGACCAGCTAATCATCTCTTGATACAGGAGAAGAGGTTTATCATACAGCTGTGGAGAAAGTGTGCAATAGGTGCAGTCAAGAAGTTTACCTTCAACTTTGTAGCAATCAGGATTACAATGGCAATGGATTATGCTAAGGACATACTTACACTTTGGAAAATAAAAGTTTTGCCTTATGTATTTCCTGCATTTTCTCCTTTTAATGACCTTTGCATCAAAACAGGATCTCTGCTAGACTTTTCTGCCTTCTGTTGTTGCTGGAAAATTCTACTTGTTACGGTTTTGTCTGTTTACATTTATAAATTGTGCACTAACATCCTGAGTCTGTTGCTGTGTTTCACTGGAATCGCCTGATGCACTTTCTACCAAAGCTGTTAGGCCCATGGAATTATTCATGGGTAGGTGCTAGGAGTATTCCATTAAAAGGTGTTGCTTGAGCTGTGTGTTTGCCTGGCTGAGCCAGTGGTCCTGTTTCTGGGGTTGGGTTACATTTCAGGAGGCAAAAATAAGCACGTTTATGCGTGACCATGAATAAAAATTCCTCAGCTCCTTCTCTGAGCAGCCTTGGTTGCACAATGTTTGCTAGCAGGTGAGCAGTAAGAGAACTGAACTGAGTCAGAAGCTCATCAATGCATCCACAGTTGCCTTCCCACCTGAATTTATCAGGTAACAACTGGCTTTCCTTTTTGTGAAATCCTCATGCCCAGTCAGGAGTATGGTATTAGTAGCAATGCACAATGTGGGTTTAGTTGAAAATCAAGAACTGAAAACCCTTGAGCTAGAGTCCAAACTGAAATGCTAGGGAAAAGTGGGAATTTCTTCATGGCATCAGCTTCACATATCACCCCCTGTATAATCTTAATTCTTCTCACAAAAACCACAGACAGCAAGTCTGTACTACCTTTATATAACATTCCCATGCTCCCTGTCCTGAGTCTCCCCCACCAGTTTGTGACTCATGAAGTCTCCCAGGCTCTTCACCTGCATCTCTTTAACAAGACTGACAAGATAAATCATTTACTGCTGATTGACTGAAGTCACTCTGAATATATTTCAAGACCTCCCTGTGAGTTAAAGAAGCAAAGGACAACCCCTGTGATGCCCCACTGCTAAGGCAAGTGTTTCACTTTGTGTACACATGGGGGAAGTTCTCCCTTAGCACCACACTCCTAAATTTTATTGATGCTTATATCAGTGATTTTGTTTTTCTTGTTGCATTAACATTCTCAGGGAAAAAATGTGGGGAGACTTCAGGAAAACTAGGATTTCCTAGCACCTGCATTTGCGGTTTTAAAGCCTTGTCTTCTCTACAGACATGAGGAGGAAAACCCAAACTCTTTTGGTAATTACAACTGCATTTTGTAATGAATAAAGAAACAGACGGTTGAGCGTGTGAATATCCAAGACACTGATGATGGTTTTCAGCCAAGTTGGCTTTCATCATTGGAAATAGCAGAAGGGAAAATGAGTTTTGTGTTTGTCAAAGCCTTTGGATAAAGCTGAGATCACCCATTGCAGCCCATCACAGCAGCTATCAGGGGTCCCAACCCAAAAGGGTTTCTGTCAGCTGTCCCAGGGCTTCCTCCTGCCTGCAGACCACAAAAGATAACTGATTTCAGATACCCTCTGAAAACAGAAGCAGCAAGACAACTTTCTGTTAAACAGACCCACAGCAGAAATAGTAACTTCATTAACAGGGTGTGCATCCTTGGGCTCAATTGCCCAAAGGTTAGTTGTGCAAACAACTTGAACACTGCTGCCCCATTAGCAAGTGTGCACAGTCCTTAATTTCAAGTGATTTGTGTAGGACCTACAGAAATAGGCACATTTTCCAGATACAGCAAAACCCATCTTAACTTCCTTTCTTCCCAAAACATCCCATCTGCAACAAATAACTAATTAGCATAAAGTGTAATTTTAAGATATACTATTACCTCCTGTAGCAATCTTGAAAAAAAACACAGTTTCTGTATTAAAGGAGTATAATGCATAAAAAAGACCTAATTTGTACTCTCTAATTCTTGCCACTCCATGCAAAGAGCACAGTGTTTTCAGGAAATGTAGTTAAAGGTACAATCTGTCTCCTCACAATTCCCTCCCTGTTTAAAGCAATTTAAACTGCATTGAATCATGACTGAATTCCTGGAGCATGATCTGTGCAGATGTATGGGGAAGACAACAAATCTCTTGGACTGTCTCCTGTTTTCCTAGACAGATGCTCAGGAATAACAGAGATGAAAGGCAGAGTTATTGTGGCAAGACCTGCACCATCTCAAGGGGATGAGCCCCGTGTCCAGCCCCCTTGTAGATATGCCAAGGAGAGGAGGTGAGGGGGCAACCAGCTCTTCATGGAGTGCAGCCCTACACCTTATGTGGCACTGGGGATAGTTTTGGGAGCATGCCAAGGCAGGAAGCATTGGGTGGACATCAGCCTGTTTTTGTCCATTGAGTGTGACATGGTCCAGGTATTGCCACCTTAGGGTGTCCTGTGGCTCCACTGGCTTTAAGGTTTTCAGTGCCAAGTGGGTGAGAATGACTTCTGAGAGTGGTGACAGCGACAGCCAGTCTTGTAGATTCCTACAACCCCATGAGCAACCTTCATCTGACCTCCAAGGGAACAGAGTACAGCCCTGCAGGCAGCTCAGGACTATGTGAAACAATCTCAGGATCTTGTCCAATTCTCTCATGGTTATGGAACAATTCAAGTATCTCAAAAATATGCTTCAGAGGAGCAGTAGCATGATGTGCTCCTTTTCATGCCATGCATAATTATAGTGGAACAGATTGCCATAGGAGGTTGTAGACACCAAAGGTTTAGTTGACTTCAGAACACAGCTAGAGAAATCTGTGGAAGACAAAATCCATCCAGTGCTGCTCATCACAAAAGCCACAGCCTTGGATTGGGAGATTGTGAAAGGCTTAGGGAAGCACTGTCACTGGTGGATTTGTCTTCTTCATATTAGAATCACAGAATCATAGACTCATCAGTGTTGGAGGAAAGCTCTATAGACCGTTGAGTCCAACCACTAACCTGCCACTTTGCTGTGACCCCTAAACCCTTTGCTCATGGCATTGTTTTGGACACAGATTCCTTCATTCTCAGTCAAGCCAGAGGTGACTTGTCAACAGGTAGGCAGAGCATGGTTTTAGAGCCCATGCATTCTTACTTGGTCAAACAGCTAATCTGTGACAATGGAAAGAAGCAAATACAAATAGAGTTTTGTCCTTTGTATGAACAGTGATTTATGTTTCACACTTGATACCGCCAGAAAAGCCTTTCAGATCTGATCAACTTTTCTGGGGATGTCATTGTACTTTTTCAGCTGACAAGTAATATGATGGACTCAGGCTGATGCATTTTGCTCAGGCAGCTGCAATATATACTGTTGGCATATAATATCTACCAGGGAAATAAAATGTAAAAGTTCCTCCTTTGCTCATGACTCATGCACATAAACTAACGGAGTTGGAATTACAGTCAAAGAACAACAACAAAATGGACTTTAAAAATAGAATTTTCCTCTCCCAGAAGTGCTGCATGAGACATCTTTGGCTTTGTGTTTAACGAGCAAGGTGCCTTCCCAGCACAATGCAAATTAAATTGTCTATCAGGTGTCTTCCAGTGCAAAAACTCTTAATTTGATGACGTGCAGTTTACTAGTTGAATTATCCTAACCAGTTACCTCCTAATGTTTAGTACTTTTAAATGATTTCTAATGGACAGGGAAGTACAATAAAATTTTTAAGGCCAAACTACCTCCCTGGCCTTTACTTTGACATGGTGCTTTGCACTGTGTTGCCTTTGACAGCAAAAATGCTTAGTAAATCCATTGCATTTTTCCAGGATGAAGAGGAATATGAAATCTTGTTGCCAGTGAAAATATCCAGCAGCAGCACAGCAAGAAACTTGCTGTAATTTTGCAATGCCATTAATTCCCTCTTAGTCTCAAGGAGCACAATAAACTTGCCAAAATGTTTGCTTTGTATACAGGATGAGCACTCTGCAGTGGGTAACAAAGGTTTAATTACAGGGTTTTGTTGTTTGTGGTTAGAAGGTAAGTTTTGTACTGTTATAGAGTCAAAAGCAAAAAAAAAAAAAGCCGTTTGTAAACACTGGGCAGTGCTGCATGTCTGTAAAAAGCCCAGGGGGATGGAACCCTGTGTGATTCAGCACAGAGTGGCTGCATCTCAGAGAAGGTATTTCAGCTCCAAGTGGGCACAGGTCTCAGGCTCACATACTCCTGAGGTTTGCCAAGATGCTCAACAAGCAACTGGAACCATTGAGTTTTTATAGTGTGGGGTCTTTTATTGTCTGACTTCACCAAAAAAATACTATGTAAGGATTTATTTATGGATTATTACTCCCAGATAATTCTCTGCAACAGGTTTCCCTTTGAAGCTGACAAGATAATCCTCTGCAACAGGTTTCCCTTTGAAGCTGGAGACTGATGGGACATGTATTCACAGTCCATTCAGGTCTTCTTCCTTTGCAGTATCTTGCAGCACCTTTGCTGCAGATTCTACCTCTCTGTGTACACTGGCTGTATTCCCAGAAGAAAACTACTTCAGCTCACCTAAGGCAGCTTAAATGGAGATCATTCAGGGAAATGCTGAACTTTCTCTCTCTCCAGGATCCCAAGTCACTCTCTTAAGAACTGCTAGGAATACAGCATATAACTGCAGCAAAGTGATAGAGGCCAATTTTCCTTCCTTCCACCTTTACACCTTTACATTGAGTGCTTTCATTGTTGATTTCTGTTTTACTTTGTTTATTTACTTCTGCAGATAGGTGAGAAACGGTATATGTTGCAGGTTCATAATTCCACTGAAGCCTATTCAAGGATGCTGAGCCAGGTACTGTGGTATATTAACTCATTGGCAGAAAGTAGTCGACACTTTTTCCCAAATATGGTTTGATCTCTCGAGTTTAGAACTGACATG